ACGCTATTGGTTATACTCTAAAAAGCATACTTATTCGACTATTTAGTGTACGTATAAATATGGAAGTGTAGTATGCTTTGCCTCCTTGCTCAATAGTAATGATTAGCCTCATTAGTAGCGAGGCTCTTAAAGATTTTCATTTCCTAAGACTCAGAATATACAATGTTACAATTCATTGTTTAGGAATGCACACAACTATAAAGCTTTCAGTGAAAACTTCATCTTGAAAGTATTGCAAAGTGCAATCTCAAGTTTGAAGAAAGTCCAAAATATGTATCTTTTATATATGTCATCATAACTTTTTTTTGTTGTGATATATGATTTCAACGGCTCTTTTCTGTGGTTAATGACCAAGTAATTGTAGCATGTTATAAAACATGTTAGATTGCTATACACCTATTGATTTGCGGCTAACTGAGCTTCTTTGTAAATCACATATCCCTGACATAATTTTTTTTTCATTATCATGCGTCTTTTAGAAGAAGAAAAATATGGACAAAAATGGTTAAAGCTCATGATTAAATCTTAACATAGTACATATGTAATAATATTATTAATAAAAATAAACACAAACTAGCCCGTGCAAGCGCATTGGTTGACAACTAGTTTTAACTAATAGCTAATGCTTCATTTCCATTGGAAGTAAGTTAGTGTGGACACGACGACATCGACACAGGGTTGTGATGTTGACGTCCTCGACACGGGGATGCGGCAATGACGACGATATTGATATGGGACTGCGGTGGGGGTGACGATGACGACCTCAACACGGGGCTACTACGGCGACAATGTCTAAAATTGCAATATGCTGCAACATTACAATGATTGCAATAAGAAATTATGATACATTGCATGCATGTGTTAACCACAAGGCAATTGTTATCCATGAGTACTAAAATCCACAAATTAATTGTTATCATACAAGTTAGTTAGCAAGTGCATAGTAGCCAAACACGATCCGTACATCCACTAGTTAATTTGTACCTGTCATCACAAGTACTGGCACCTACTCCTCTCTTTTAGGAATAACTGTAAAGAATAGGAAATGTCTTGCATCTCTATGGTGGAGCACAGAGATCCACAAATCTCCAATTTCTGGTATGCATTCATTCGGTATTCGGTTCTACCAATCAATTTGGTCGTGTCCCTCTAGTAGAGCTGCAGTGGAGTATGCAGCTTTAAAATTGGTCTTCTCATTGCAAATAATTGATATTCCACATTGGGCATCCATCACCGCAGGCGCAATCAATCTTGGGAGCTTTTGTTCAAGAACATAATACTAACATAATAATACATTAAGCTTATGTTCAAGATATACAAATTAAAAAATGTTTGGTGAAAGGAATTCAATCAATGTTTCGCCAAAACATTGGCATTTAGTATATGCTTCCAAATTAAGACATGTACTACAACACAATATGAATCACATACTTCAGTTAGTGTTCTAGCAAAATAAGAAAATAAATGCAAATAAACCTAACAATGTGAGATCTCAAACATGCAGATATATAAAGTTTAAGATCCACGAATATTTTTGCATGACCCTTGCTTGTTATTGGATATATTAAGTGCCAGAAATTTGGCGAAACAGAAATCAATCACCGCTTTGCCAAAACATTGGCACTTAGTATATGATTCCCTGTAAAAAAATGAAGGTAAGTGCATATTCTTACTGAAATTAACAAGTCATTCTAAAATTAACAAGTCATATTCCTACTATAACAAATCATTCTAAAATTAACAACTCATTCTAAACTTCAAAAATTAACACTGCCAAACAAATTAACCATAGCAAACAAATTCTAAAATTCAACCTACGAAAAAAACTAATGCTACCAAACAAATTAACACTAAAGCAAATGAACCCTAGCCCTAACCCGAACTAATGCAATAGAATGGGACGGGATATGCTTACCATTTGTGGTGACTCCGGCGGAAGCGACGACGGACGTTATGGATGGCGGCTCCGACCGTTGACGCGAACGACGGTCGTGAAATCGATCGGGGGTGGGGAGAGTGTGGCCGAGAGAGCGAGGTGAGTGGATAAGATTTTGGTGGACATGACAGTATAGGAGTTAGTTGTGGTCGGCGCTGCACGGCGGACGCCACTCCAAGTTAGCAGTTACAGGCTTTTATGTTTATCCACCACTACTACTTTTTGAAAATAGCAGTGGTGGGTACCTGACCATGCTTGCCACTCATTCGAGGCCATTTATGAGCTTTTTCTCAGTAGTGACATGGGATACGGACATCCGTGTCCCTCGGATGGCGACCGCTGTTTCACTTTCCTATGCCCATGATTGGCGAAGATTTAGACTAGGTTAAATGAAATATGATGAAAATGTCCACTTTTCTGCGGTGGACGTGCACTCCAAGGCCAGGGCGCGCAGCAGCAGCGACCGCGCACCAGTCTTCTCAGGGACACCAAGGACTCCCTGGACTGCGCCCAGACCCGAGCAGCAGATCCGCACGACCGCGGTGACAACATCCATCCTCGCCAGATACGCGCGACTGCGGTGACCACGCCCATCCTCGCCAGATCCGCGCCACCCAGCTCGCCCGCCCTTGCGCCGAGCCCATGAGCCCCCGCCACACCCAGGCGCGGCCGCATTGCCTCTAGCTGTGAGCCCGAAGACGCCACGCAGGCCCATGCTCCTCTGCCCAGTCGTGGTGCCCCGCGCCACCGTGCCTCACGAGAGGGAAGAAAGGACCCCGCCGCCACCGATGCCGCGCAGGCTTTGCCCGGCGGCGCGCACCGGCGGCTGCGAGGGGAATCGGGCGGGGTGGTGGATGGCTAGCGGCGGCGCCTAGGGTTGCTCCCAGGCCGCTCGCGGGGAACGACACGGGATACTGGAAGACCGAGGCTAATTTGTCCAGGGTTTAGGGTTTAGGGTTTAGGGAGGGCGGTGCAGTGCAGCGGGCGTGCGCGCCCTGGTGCGGAGGTGAGTGTCGCTGAGGGTGCCGCGCGGTGTAGTGCTCGTCGCTCGTCGGCCAACGTGGGCGGTCCTGACGTCGGCGTCTGCGGGCGGTAGCTGGAGGCAGAGCTTTTGTGGCTTGTGGGCTCTGCTAAGGGCTAGTGGAGGTTGCCAGTTCAGTGGCCTGGTGTGAAGGTGGTCAGATCCGGCAGGAGGTGACCTCGGTGGCTCGATGGAGGACTTGTTGATGCATGTTGTGTGGGGCTCGAGAGGTTGACCAGGGCGAAAGCTTGTCTCTGGCGTGTTCGGAGCCGGCGATGGCGACGCTTTCAAGCGCCGCTTCCTTCTTGTTGGCATCGCCGAGGTACTCTCAGCCCCAATCTTTGTTGCTTCGAGGGAAACCCTAGATCGATGGGATCGGGTGATGATGCTGGTGCTCTGGCATCGTATACCATCTCGGGGGCTTCGTCTTTGGAGCTAAGCATCAACAAGCGAGATAGATGGAGGATGGTGGTGTTGGCGTCGAGGCTTCCGTGGCAATGATGATGGGTGTGTGTGATGTCGGAGAAGCGGCAATGGTTGTGGTAGTCGGCTTCTCCGGCGTGTTCTTGGGATTACCTCGGGTTGTTTTGTTGCGGTGAAGTCGGAGCTGCGACGGCGGGGCCCCTGTGGCGACGATGACAGGCAGCAGGTGGTCTGTTCGGTGGTCTTCCGCGGAGCCAACCTTGCACAGTTCTCCTTCGGAGCTATCTTTCAGAGTCGGAGCAGCGGTGTCCTTGGCGCGGGTGGCTGAGTCTGGCACGGGCCTTCTTGTGTATCCACACAACCTCTACGGTGTGGGTTGGGTCGACGTTTGTCTTCAGAGAAGTCGGAGTCACTTGCTTGGAGTTTAGGGAGGGCGAGGACGCCTGTTGGGGAGAAGTGATGACAATGACACCGGTGTGTGATGTTGACGAGACCCTCTATGTGAGGTGTGTGTGGGGTTTTATGCGAGTGCCGCTCAGCGGTTTGTGACGATTTTCTCCTGGTTTTCTATTTATTAATCGGACAACTCTCTTCTGCTTAATTAATGGATGAGGCAAAGCTTTTGCCTCCATTTAAAAAAAGTCCACTTTTGTGTAATAAAATATGTTGAAAATATCATGAATTTGGTCGGGTTTAAACGAAAACTGTTTGGTTTGCATGGATTTATACACTTTGTTCGAGTTCCGTTTGAAATGTGTTCGGTTTGATGAATAAGATTGGATAGCCGGCTACCGTATCAGTGTCTGTGAATACTTTTTTTTTGACAAACTACGGACTGATATGCCAGATGTTTGGTTCGTGAGCTAGAAGGATATTGATTACCATATTCTCGTTATATTCTCATAAATGCCGGCTCCGCCTGTCCAGAGGTAGTCTTGCCCATTGTTTTGTTTTTGTTTTTGCTGAAAAATTGCTTTGTTCAGGTGCATAAGTCGTCTTACCTTGTGCACCGCGACAAAGGTGAAATAAAAACTAAAATAACTTAATATTTATTTATTAATTAATACCATTGCATACAATAAACTGACCAGTGCATATCGTGTTCGATAGTCTCAAGTCACTAAAAGAAAACACATCTCTCATTAGTTGATTTGTTTATTTATGTCGAGAAATAAAAATAAGATGAGAGTTAATGCACCGTGCCTAAATATTTTAAAATTATTTGAATTTATCATTTCCAGGAACAAAAGTAGTCGCAGTACCAATCTAGATATTTCAAGAAAACGAGTGGACACGGCTTACTCGATGGCATGTGGCCGACTTCAGTTCATTTTTAAAAGGTGGCCGACTTCAAGACGCATGTGGCCACGGTTCTCTGTCCAGTCCCAAACGAATCATCATCGCCTAATAAACAATCCATCCACTGAGCAACGGCGCACCTGCAGTTGATCCATCTCTGTCCGACCGACACCACGTCCCTGTCCGCAAGCGAGTCAGCTGGTTCATCCACCTCTCGCATCCACGCGCGCGTCGCACGGCGACTAGCCGACTAGTCCACATAACATAATAGTCCGGCTATATAAACCATTCTCGAGCACCAGATCAATATACCATATCGAGATGAATCACGCCAAGGAGAAGGTGAAGGACGCCGCGAGCGCGGCCAAGGCCAAGGCCAAGATCACGCAGGCCAAGGTGGCCGAGAAGACGGAGGCCGCCACGGCGAGGTCGCACGACGAGCGTGCGCTGGCGCACGAGCGGGGCAAGGCCAAGGTCGCCGCCGCCGAGGCCGAGCTGCACCAGGCCAAGGTGACCCACCGCGAGGAGGCCATGGAGCACCGCCTCCACAAGCGCGCCGGCACCGGGCACAAGCACGGAGCTGGCCACTGATGTGCATGAAGGACGTACTGTGCACGCATCGTTCATGCTAGCAAGCCGGCCTGTTCTGGTTTCCAATCTTTTTCCATTATTTTTTTACTCCCAGACCAAGTGTGTGTTCATTGACGTCGGGCTTAATTTGGAGAGGTCACAGCTGCCTGCCTGCCCCATGTGCATATGTATGTATTTTGGCTTGAATAAGTAGTAACAGATTGACTTAAGTTTTGTCTATGAGGAAGTATGAAAATCAACCGACTGATTTCTCTCCATCGTAAGCCGCGTCCTCTGCGTGACACGTACCGCTGTCGGCCGCCCACCGCTCCCCCCACGCATCCAACTTTATCTCTTCCGTGGCAGATGTGCTCCTCCACTCGTTCTTATTACTCTCTTTTCCCCTTCCGAATCTCTTTCTTCGTCGCTCTGGGAGAGGGAGAACTCGGACAACCGCGCACCGCTGCTACGATCCGAGAGGAACGATGGCGGCCACCGCTCGTGTCGGTGCTGCAACGCAGAAGGAAGAAGGGAAGCCGAAGTTATTGCCTCGCTCTGTGTCCTGCCATGGCCGTGCCGACTCCACTCTTCTGCCCTCTCTCACCCCCATATCCGACGTGGAGTGTTGCTGCTGCAAAGAGGCACCATTGTGCTGCGGCAATGAAGGCGGTGACGACAAGCTTTTTGCTGAGAAGGGGGCACCATTAGGGTTGCAACAGCCCTGGTGCTCCAAGCCACCTCGCCACGGCAGTCGCCGTTTGTTACGCCGGTGGTGTTGCGATGCAGCTACGATGAAGCATCGTCGGAGCTGCGACGGGTCACTGATGCTGCGTTCGAGCAAGGTCGTGCAGGTGTTCGTGCGACATTGAACCATCGCCGGAGCTACGATGGGTCGCCGGTGCTGCGTTGGAGCTCCGCCGTGCCGGTGTGGCGCTGTAATGGAGCATCGTTGGAGCTACGATAGGCCGCCGGTGCTGTGTTGGAGCACCACCGCGCCGGTGTTGGCGCTGCAATAGAGCATCACCGTTGCTACGTTGGAGCACCGTCGCGCCTGTATTGGCGCTGCAATGACACATCGCCACCATGCCCTTGTTGTCGAACGCCCAGCTCTGCCGGCGATGGAATGCGGCTAATGCTTGCAAGTCGGCGGTGTTGCTTCCACGGCGCGTCACATGGTTGCTATCATTGTGGCACAACATGTGTTTGATCGATCCAACGGCTGCGAGAGGAAGGATCCGACGGCCCGCCACCCGACTGATTTTCTAAAGAAATATGTCGGCTGATTTGTAGAAGCCGCCTTTGTCTATATACTACTTTTCATACTTGCGCTTCGTTGATAATGATAACAGCAATGGTCTAAATAGAAGAAAGTGCTCGGTAACAATAAAATCCGGCGAGCTGAGGGCATCTACAATAGTTTATTTATACTCCCTCCGGCTAGGTTTATTGGGTCCGTAAGCCAAAACACCAAGACCAAGGAAGCGCACACATGTAGAGATTTAGAAAATAAATCTGCTTAATTTGCTCTCTAACTGCCCTATTAAACAGCCATATTAACTAGAGCAGCGCATGCCCAATCGGCGAGGTTCGGGCGTCATCTTCGATGCAACGGTGCATGCACGGTAGCAATTTCAAGTACTAATAAAGTATGATAATTAATGTACGGGCCTAATAAACAGGTACAACCATATCTGGCTTCCGGGGCCAATAAACACGGATGGAGGGAGTAAGAGCATCTCCAGCCACGTCCCGAGAACGGCCTCCTCACATGTTTTTTTCGCGCCGGTACCGAAAAAACGGCCCATTCACGCTTCCAGGAGCCCGATTTTCGCCGGTCTGTGCCGAAATCAGCGCCGGCGGACCCAGGCCGAACCCGTCGCGCTGGGGGACGCCCGGAGGCGCCGGGGCGAGTGGTTTTGGCGCGAAGCAACCGCGGGTCCGCCTAGTCAACGAGACAGGCGCTTCGTCGCCCTCATCGCCTCAGTTCCCGCGGAAATCAATGCCAAGGCTGCCGCGCTGCCGCCGACGGTCAGCCTTGCCATTGATTCCTCACAGGCGGCGCGTCACGGGGCGGCGCAGCGTCGCCTCCCCTCCCGTCACGCGTATAGACGTGCGCGGCTATATAACCCGGGGCCCTCCTTGCCTCAGCCCACGCCAGCCCCTCGCCGCCGAGCCCTCTCCCTTTCCCTGTGCCGTGCACCGCCGCTGCTGAGCCCTCCCTCTCGCTCTCCCGTGCGCCTCCTCCGAGCCCTCCCTCCCCCAATGGCGGAACGCTTCCCCGGCGACGAGGCAGCAGCCCACGGCTTCGGCCGCCGCTCGCTTCGCGAACAGGAGTCGTGGCTCCTGTTCGAGGCCAACATCTCGGCGCCGCCGGACATGCGCGCTGGGCCGTCGGGGTGGCGGCTCAGCAATGGGGCAGTGCCCGTTCCGCCGTTACCCGACCCCGCGGCGCGGACCGCCTACTTCGCCGACGAGGTTGAGCTCGCGCGCGCCTCCCTCACCGATGAGCAGCACTCCCTCCCCCAGTACGCCGGCGACAACCACTCGGCATGGGTGGCGTACTTCGAGCGCCGTCAGGAGGAGAGGCTGGCGTCCACCAACGGGGCACCGGTGGTGGGCGACAGACAGAACAGGGAGGGCCGCCGCGTTTGGTGGGGCGTCCCCGGCCGCATGCTCGGCGGCGTGCTGGCACACCTCGAGGGCGGCAACGAGCCGCCAGTGACATACCCTCTCCCGACGGCCGCGGCCCCGGCCCGCCATCGACACGCCGGGCAATGGCTGCCCAGGAGGTTCGTCTCTTTGTCGTCTTCCTCCTCCTCATCGCGGTCTTATTCGCACTCCTCCGGCACTCCGGCGCTGCTCGGCGATAAGACCGAGCCCGCGGCGGAGACGCCGCTCGGCCGGCGCATTCGCAGTGTCGGCATCGTCATCAACGAAGGCGGCCAGCGCGCCCCCTCCTCGGCTCCTCCGCGGTTTGTCAAGCCGAAGACGGAGCCCGGGCTCGCGACGGTGAAAACGGGGCCGGGTCTCCCTGCCGTGAAGACGGAGCCCGGCGAGGTGGCGCTCGACGATGATGCAGCCCTGAAATGGGCGCGCAAGGACTTCCTCAGGATGGAGAGGGAGCGCCAGGTCGCTGCATTGCGGCGCTTCGAGCAGCGCCGCCTGGGTCGCGAAGAAGGAGGAGTTGTCTACCTGGACGACAGCGACGACGACGTGCCGCCGGCACCTGTCCGCCATGGCGATGCCGGGCAGGGGTGCAGCCGGGACGGCCGCGCCAAGGAGGAGAAGGCCGCCGCCGCCGACGACGGTGAGGACGGCGGTGACGACGGCGACTACTCCGCGTTTAGTGATTTCTTTTTTTAGTTATAATTGCTATGTAAACGCGTCAAACATGTAATATATGCCAAAGTTTACCGATATTTAGCCGTGTTTAACCGAACTTCGCTGAACGGTTTTTTCTAAATTAGACGCGCTTGGGGGCGGCCCTGGGGACGGCGACTGGGGGGCGACTCGCCCCCAGTCCGTTTTCTTGCGCCGGCACGTCCCCAGATGGCGATTTTAGACGCCCCCTGGGAGGCCAACGACTGGAGATGCTCTAAGTTACTCACAAAAGAGTCGTAGATGCTCTTACCGGCGTTATTACGAAAGGGCATCCCAATACTGGGTGGGACCGAGTAGGCGCCAGGAGCTTTTTGTTATTTTTTGTTTGCCAGGAGCTTTTATGTGAATGGGGAGGCAGATGTCCTGACTGTTTCCTTATCTGGCTGAGTAGTTCTGAATCCCGATATTTCGTCCGGAGCAATGAGTGGACATGGCTCAGTCCATGCAGGGGCCGACTTCAGTTCGTTATAATAAGTTGCCCGACATCTAGACGCATGTGGCCACGGTTCCCTATCGAATTAAACCCAGCCTAAACAATCCATCCGCTCAGCAACGGCGTAACTGCAGTTGATCCACATCCATCCCACCGACACCACGTCCCTGTCCGCCAGCGAGCATCGTCCCGCGGCGGCCGATATAAACCCGCTCGCTCACCACCATAAGCAAAGCAACTAGAAGAAGCTAGTAACAGCTCTAGCCAAATCAATACACTATATCAAGATGAATCTCGCCAAGGAGAAGGTGAAGGACGCCGCGAGCGCGGCCAAGGCCAAGGCCAAGATCACGCAGGCCAAGGTGGCCGAGAAGACCGAGGGGGTCACACGACGAGCGTGAGCACCGCGAGGAGGCCATGGAGCACCGCCTCCACAAGCGCGGGCACAAGCACGGCGGCGGTCACTGACCTGAGCCGCACGGCCGGCCGTAAGGGTATAAACATGTACAGTACTGTACATGCATCGTTCATGCCAGCAAGCCGGCCTATACCACTAGTAGAAAACCACTCATTAGTCCCGATTCGTAAGGGCCTTTAGTCCCGGTTTATGAACCGGGACTAATGGGTCGTTATTAATACCTCCACCCATTAGTCTCGGTTCAAACCAGAACCGGGACCAATGTGTCTCCACGTGGCCCTGTGCGCCCACCCCAGTCAGGGGGCCTTTGGTCCCGGTTGGTGGCTCCAACCGGGATCAAAAGTATTTTTTTTAAAAAAAAGTGGCTGCTTTAGGGATTATTTTTAGGTTGTTATTATAGCTAGCTAATAGAGAGAAGTGTCCTCTCTTATATCTTCGTCCTTGGTTTATCAACGCTGCTGCTATGTTCATTGCACCCGCAGATATAAAATGCTCATGCATGCTTGCATCATACATCATCATATATATATATATATATAATAACAAGTCCTACTAATCATGCATCATCATATACAACTTCTACTCGTTTTTAATAATAAGTCATACGATCATCATCCTCATAGTCATCGAACCCAACCCTACATAATTGTTCTTAGCACATGATCATCAGTATCAGGTAGGACCTAAACACCCTTAAAGTAAAATAGCATAAAACAATATAGACCCTGACTCTCCATTATGAAGAATGGCGATCATCCTGTCTCCAATTTTTGCCCTTCGCTGAATGTT